TCTCTAGCACTGAATTTTGAGACGTCCATCTGACAAGAAGACATAAGGGAACAACACACAATCAAAACCATTCTTTATTAATGATTTCAAAAGTCATCTTCTGAGTCATGGTCCTCAACTTTTTGCACCGGTCTCTTAATACCAATTATTAAGTCTATGGAGAGAAGTTCTGTAACACAATGAAGAACTGAAACGACCAACTGGTATTTGCAATACACTAACTCTAAGCCTTCCTCGTTCCCTGGCAGTGGCTGATTTTTTCGGAGTGAATTAATGGCTTTGAGATAGAATTTGGTAAAGCTGTCTCGTTCTGTTGTCCTGTACAAGGCCTTGGGGATACTTAGCAAAGCATCAGCAACCACATTAGATACAACAGCTACCTCTGATTGTTGACATTGTTTTGCATAGTACTGAATGTAATAATGTAAAAGGATTTCAAAGTAACCTCCTACTGGCAAAACTGATCCTGCTTCTATGAGGGAGTTGGAATGATCCTGTGCAATACTTACACAACTTCCTTCCTGTTTAAATGGAACTATACTGTAATGTGTTTTCTCTAGACCTTTGCCAACATCCAGGAGCTCACACGCCGTCACTCCATCAGTGTTACATGCTGCTAACACAGCACTGCTGTAGCTCTGTTGCTTGTCCACTAGTGAACTACTCTTATCAGAGTCTAAAATTTTTGCCTCTGTTTCATCACTAAGCACTTTCAGCTGACATTCAGAAACCTGGTTATTATTACAAGAAATATTTTCTACTACGATTTGTTTCTGAGTAGGTAAAGAATGCCAACTGCAAACATCTGAAGTTTTGTTCTGGCTTTCACCTTTGGATTGGCATTCCTCCCTCTGATCAACTGTTTTAAACAGCTGCTGCAGCATTGTGAAGGCCTCTTGTAAAGCAGCAGCATGTTGCTCATTGACCCCACTGACCGGCCCACAAAGGATCAGGCAGTGGGGCTGGAAGGCACACACACTGGTGAAGCCAATGTGGACGCACCTCTTGGAGCCAAGCAGCAGGGGCTGGCAAAACGATGCCACTGCAGTTTCAGTGATTTTCCTGCACATGTTACCACCAAAAGGTGCATAAGGCGAGACACCGGTGATTTCACTGATTAGCGCCATTTCTTCGGACAATAAGCACTCTACAACAGAAACACCGTATAGTTTGGCATAGTAGATAACTACTTCATCTTGCTTCGTGCTCGACAGTAACAGCTTAACGTTGTTGCTCTGCAAGTGTTTCACTAAGGCTTCCGTCCTCCTTGTGATCCAGCGCAGGGAAGCCTGATACTGACCCTCGGAGTCGACAACAAACTCGACGCCGGGGGCCGTCAGGGCGGGCCGCAGGGGCTCGGTGACTAGCACGGCCCGCAGCTCCCCTTCGGCCGGACAGTAAGCAGTGAAGTCCCTGCTAAGGACGATGCCGGGCAGGACGGTGGAGCTGGCCAGGGGCAGGCCGGGCACCGCGGCGTGCAGGGCCGGGAAGCGCCGCCCGAGGACCCGCAGCGCCTCAGGGCGGGCGGCGGCTGCCGGGGCGCAGCGGCGGCACATCTCGGTGCAGAGCCGCGCCAGGTGCCGCCGCTCGCCGGGGGCCAGCCGGCCGGCCAGGTACGGCTCCAGCAGCGCCTCCAGCAGCGCCTCCGGGAGCCCGGGCGGCGCCGCCCGCCAGTGCCGCCGCAGCCCCCGCGCCGCCGCCCGCTCCAGCACCTGAGCCTCGAAGGCGCGCAGCGCCCGCCGCAGCCCGGCGCCGCCGCCCGCCGCTCGCAGCCCGCCCAGCACGGCCGCCAGCAGCACCACGAAGCTCTTGGCGCCGTCCCCCGTCGCGGCGCGGTGGCTGCAGGCGCGGGCCGTCATCATCCTGCGGGCACACGGGCAGCGTTAAGGAGCCGCCGCCGCCGGCCCCGCCCGGCCCCCCCCGCCGCGGTACCTGGCCGCGAGCGGCTCCAGCCTCAGCGCCTCCAGCAGCCGCCGCCCGTCCCGCGTCAGCACCGCCTCGCCCGTGGGCCGCAGCAGCAGCGCCCGCCCGCCCCGCGGCCCCAGCGCGCCGCACACCGCCCCCGCCAGCACCGCCGCCTCCTGCCACAGCCGCCCCAGCTGCGGCACCGGCTCCGCCATCGCCGCCGCCATCGCACCGCCCCTTCCGCCCAGCGCATCACGGCCGCGCCCGGGGCAAGGGCCGAGGGGCGGCACAGGGGCGCAGCGGGAGACGGAGAGAGCGGGAGTGGGTTCGGGGACAGGGAGAGCAGGAGCAGGAATCCGTCCGGCCCGGGGACCGGCGCACAGAGCCGAGAGGCTGAGCGGAGGTGCGACACATCTTTATTGCGGGCGGCGGCGGATTCGGCCGCCCCGTTACAGTTCCGATCCCTCACAGAGCGGTGATCCCGGGTGACGGACTGCGCGGGACACGCGGGGACGGGGGGGACGGGCGCTGTGTCCTGAGGGCTGATTTTCCCGCTTGGCAGAGGGAAAGGCCGGGGCAGGGGAGAAAGGAGAAAAAGTTAAGCAGAAAAGGCCCAAATAATTTCTCCGTGAAGTTCTTACTTCGTTATGGCTATTTCTGTATTACTACAAAGTAGTGCAGCTTCACTGTAAACACCCAAAATCCTCCGCTTTCGGCTCACCAGCCAGAAAGAGGGAATAATTTAAAGATTTTTTTAAGAGCTTTAAGAGTTTTTTTTTCCCCTCCCAGAGTCTGACTAAGCAGGAAAATCAGTTCACAAACACAAAAGCCCTCACAAAAGGTCAGATGTTACATATGGCACAAATGTGACAAATTTTACATGTCTCCGAACAGCAAGAAACCCATCAAGAAGGCACTGTTTACAATACTTGAATATCTGCTAAATTTTCTGTGATTTGAGGATACTCTTGAAATACAAATAATTAAAACTTACAGATGTACAGAATTGTTGTTATACGTTATTTACACAAACATAATCAAAAGTAACAGCCTGTAAGAAACTATAGGAAACACTGAATCCCAAGTCTGTTTCATAAACATCAGTCTAGAAAAAAAAAAAATTGCCAAAGGCACAGGAGGGCAGCAAACAACAACCAAGCCAAACCAAACATGACACAACAACCAGGCTATATACTCTCATGTAATGTCAACTGTTTAAAAGGAGAATGCAAGAGACATCATCTGCTGCTAAAAATGATACTCATTGCATTTCACATGGCATATTTACTTTTTCTTAGCTTAGGTCATCTGTACCCAACTAGGCAACCTGTACCTAAATGGCAAATTAAAGGCATAGAGTGCATTTGAAAAGAAACCCAACAAAACCACATGGCAACAAATTCTGAAAATATTTCCTGTACAAGAAAAGAAACCCAAACAAAACAAGATTTTTAAATCAAATGTGAAAACAAGTGCTGTTTTAAACTTTAAAAACTAGTAGGAGGCCACAGCTCTCCGACACCTGCAAATGGTACAATCCATTTTTATAACTATGTGCAGAACTCGGTCTTAAGCAGGCAGCAGAGTCAAGATCTGCTATACATCATACACTAAAGAAAAGGCTCCATACATGTCTGTGACCAGCTGTACTATAAAAATTCATGAAGAAGTTTCTTTGCTCTATTCAAATGGGGACTGTCATATAAAACCCAGCAGAATGGGAATGACTAGGATTTCACTGTACTTTTCAGAATTTATCTAATCATACTGTCAAGAAGTCTGCAATTTTACATTTCAAAAAGCTTCATCACATATCCTTTACCTTTTCAGATCATCACTAAAACCACTTTTACAACAGAATTCAGCTCTAAGTTGAAGAGGAAAATAAGCATAGGGATTTTGTCTCGCTCTGTTCAAGTGCTTTACTTGTCTTGAGCTGAGCATGAACTTCAGATATGGAGTATCTGTTTAGTTTGACTTTGTCCAACATCAAGCTGCCAGCCAGCTTGCTGGGTCAAATCCAGTTACTAGCACACAGTCCATGTACAAATACATGCAGACTATGTTACCTAATGGTCTTGAACAGAAGTGATTAAAATATGAACATGAAAAGGCAGAAGAACATTTCTTTTTACAAGGGAAATAGAAGCTTATAACTATCAGTCAGGAGTTTCAGCACCACAAATTTAGCAGAGTGTTATTTTAGGGGACTGAAGTCATGACCCAAATCTCACTTACTGGATTATTCTCATGTACAGAATATGTTTAAAGGCTCGGAGTAGATCTTAAGACAGGTGAAGCTTTGACATCCAAATGTAATAATGAATGGTCAAATTCCAGGCTGAGAATGTTAAGTGAAAGCCATAATATTCTGCTTTCTTAATGCTATTTCATACATGGCTAACAACTTCAGTTTCCACTTAGAGACTTAGGCATTAGTAATTTTTTGTTTACAAAGGGACTTTGGTCTTGCCCACAGATGCAAGATCTGCTTAAGGTACCAGACTCCAGAAAAACTATTCATGACCAAACCATGCTAATGTGAAGCTGTAAGCAGTATGCTGAAGTTGACTGCTTACACAATAAACATTTACATAGCTAAGGTTCAAAGAAGGGGAAAGGTAAAAAAGAAGGGGAGGTGTGTGAAGCTGTCAGCCACAGAAATACATAAGCTAGACAGATAAAAGAGTAAACAGTATTTGCACTAAGTACTAGTGAGACTGATGCAGAACAGAAAGGCAGATCACCTGGTGAGTCAAGGAGGCTGCCCAAGGCAGAGGGATAACCTGGCCTTGCCAAAAAGCTAAACATGCCCTTTGAACTGTTCCACTGCCCAGGATGGATTTGATTTCTGAGAGGATCCTCTAAAACTGAACTTGTCTGCCCTTCACATTGTGCCGCTCATCTTCCTGGTGTCTCACCTGGGCTACTGAGAGTATCTTTACAATACTACAGCCCCTTCTTGACTTGGTGTGCTTAACTGGCACAAGGAACTCACCTGATAAACACCAGCACTAATTTTTTTTGCTGAAATTTTACAAATTCTACACATGCATATATTTCTTCAAATAAAAAAACATTAGAAACCCTGGTTTTGAATTGAAACTTAATCTTCACATTAATTTGTATGGCTACAGTATAGTAAGTAGGTGCATTCATGTATTCTGGCAGGTAGTATATACTTGCAGTAAGGAGGGATTTCACAAATACTCAGGGTTTCCCTCTCATTTGCTTTGATGTATGTGGTGTTAGCCACTGCAAAATTTCTGAACTTTCCCCTTGTAAATGCTTTCATTTGCAAGTGAACTCATGACAGTACCCAAATCCTGTTCTACATTATCTGCCTCTTGGGAGGTTCAGCTCAAGCTACACACTGAACACACCTCTTCAACTTCACATTTTGTTCCAAAAATAAGCAAGAGTTCCGGCATCAGCAGTCTTACCCTGACATGGCCATACACAAATGTAAATTCAAAGCTGTAGATTTATCAAGACTTATAAACATACCAGAAAATCTTAACATTTGCAATTCATGAGAGAGAGTAGACCAAGACAGTACCTTCCTGGGTGCTGTACTGTTAAAAACGTGCTCTGTACAGTAGATGAAGGAATGTTTTTATGAAGAATCTGAAGTTTTAAAACTATAAAACAGCTGGTTTACAAGCCTATAGTGATTCAAGATAAAAACCTCATACTTCCAAAACAAACCAAGGACATTATGTTGCAGATTTCCTAAAGACTTTGGCTTTTTACTAGCCAGTTCCTAATGTTCATGATTTTTTGTATAATAATGTATTTGTTTGACCTTAAACAAAAGCTTACTTCCAAACACCCAACCGCCATTTACAAAAGCTGTTGGCTACTTCAGAAGTTCCTTCGTTAAAAAAATGATAAGTTGATATGTAATGAAGTATGCTCGTTTATCATTCTACCATAACTGGAATCACGTCCTACCTACAGGGTCTGACCTCTGACTTTTTATCTTCATCTGTTCTGCGGTAAAGACTGATCACTACAGTGTATGATGTAATATAAACACAAGGCTGATGTCGTATGGCTACGAGACAGAGGCACACACCAGGAACAAGAGTGTACTGGCACTTACACAATTCTTACTTCAACTGGATAGACAGGAGTATGATTCTGAACCATGAACGCTGAGGCAAAGTTCTGTGAGTTGTTGCTACATGGTTCTTCTAGATAATATTGCATCATTTAAAGTCCAGCTTAAAATATGGTCCCCAGTAAGAGTTTGATCATTCCAGTTTGAGAAGGCCCTTGTTCACACTTCCTATTTGAACAAGAAATTAATGATGAGCTGTAGTAGAACCAAGAGTAAAATGAAGACATAGTGCTTAAACTGCAGGAAATGGTAGTCCGCAGGTGGTGAATTAGAAGAGACTCTATTTCGTAGAGCCATAATGTCCCTGTAAGATAGAAAACAATATGCTGTAAATTATAAAATAGACAATTTGGCATTTTCTACTATGTTAAGGCTCCCTACAGAAGGCAGCTTTTGGGGAAAATGATGAAATATCAATGAGCAATCAATATTTGTGAAGAAGAATAAAGAGAGCAAGGCTCTTTAGGCAGAAAGGGAAAAAAAATAAACAGCTATGGAATTACTATTCTCTAAACAATTTTAAAGCACTTTGATTAGTACTACCTCTTAATGTCTTCTTGTGTTTCCTTTATAGATTCAATGGCACTCTGCAGTTCACCAAGGTCTGTCCCTTTTTTCCTTATTCTTGTATTATGCTTCAGAAGTTGTGCTAGAAGGATTCAAAAGCCAGATGCAATTGAAGTGACTTCAGCCCCAAAAGGAATTAAGTACAAATGACTAACTAAACCAGTTGCAAAAATGAGGAGAAAGTTTTCTAACTATCTTCTATTGCAAACTTTATTTCAGAGTCGCCTATAGCACAGAAGAACAGCAATTTAAGCACTTGAAATATCTTAAACTCACCATGTTGTTTAATTTTGGCAAGCATTATCAACAACAAAAATCTGCCCCCAGCCACATACTAATCTACAAATTAAAACAATTCATCTTGTTTTAAGAAAGAAAAGAGTTTACAAACACTATTCTTTTTCCCCAGGTATAAATATCTGCAGCATTTAAGCCTGCCTATGCTGCATTTAAAAGGACAGGAGAGTTCGCAATTAAAACCATGAGCTGTCCTTTTGTTTTCCAGAATGTGCTTCACATTGTATCCAAGCATAATGATATAAAGCATAATACAGTCACTGAGATAAGAAGAGTATGTGTGACTCTGAACTCTTTAGCTGTCAAATAAATTTATTATTTCTGTATGCAAATGTAACTTTTCATACCTTCACTCCCAGAGGAATCCTGGTTATCAGGCTCCGGGGATGAGAAACCACACTCTCCTTTCTTCTGACTGGCTGGCTTTCGTTTAATTTTTGGAACAGTAACCTAAAATTGATAAAATTATCTATTATTTCCAGAGAACCAGAACTGTAGCAAAGCAGGGCATTCTAAGAGTTACAGTTAAAAGAACAATATTCAATAGAAGTCCAAGTTAAAATTTTTGAGGCAGAAGCAGCCTGAAGTTTGTTTGTGTATCTTCCCATTAATAGGATAATATTCATTAAACTGCTGAGTTCAAGTTTGCATATTTTATGTTCCCATCCATTCAAGTTCACCTTGACTGCTTAGGATGCAACACACAAGTGAAAGACTATGGACTGGGTAAACAACATTTTTGCAGGATAACAGCATTTCCCATCAATCCCAATGCTTTGATGACCTTTATACAGATAATGCATAATATATACAAGTCCCTGGATCTTGCTGCATCTGCTATCAGAACTAGAACATACCATTGGTGTCCGATGTCGAACTTTTGTTTGGATTGTGCCATCTTTTTCAAACTGGATCATATCATTCAAAGGATCCCATGGTCTGGTACTAGAAAAAGGAAATATTATTAACACTGCAGCGATTTAAATATTTCCTTGCTCAGAAACTTCCCAGTATGAAGAGGCAAAAGCTCTTCCTTATATAGAAGTCAGATATGGAATAAGTGATTTGATCTTTCACTTATAGCCCAGTCCTAACCTAAAGGGCCAAGAGAGACAAAAAATAAACTTCACATCCAGGTCCTCAGCCAGCTGGTAAGAGTACAACCCATTGTATTAACCAACAATATCATTATGAATGTATTTGGCCAGTGATATGTATTTGTCAAACATGGAGAGATTTCCTGCTTAAGATACAGTTATTATTTTAGAACTACAGGGAAATTAGGGGAATATAAAAATTATTTTAGTTTTTGACTGCTTTTTGTTGCATTTTTTTTCTTTTAAAAGATGCCTAGGAAGAAGAGGTTAAGAACCAGTTACCTCAAACCTGCTTTCATCCCAAAGGGGGCTGTAATCAAGACTGGTTTCATGAGACACTAATGAGCTATGCACAGTTTTCTTGTTCTGATTTTTAAGAGTGCTTTTCCAAGTACAGCCTGATACAGAACTTAAAAAAAAAATAGCATAAGACATGTAGCTCAGTGCAGAGTAATAAGTAGCCAAAGGCAAAGACCAATGGCCCCACTGATTACAGCTGTTTCAGGATAGAAACTGCAAGTGAGCTGCATCAGGGTCGTTCTGACATGTGGTTTTAGGGAGAGTAGATTAAGCATGGATTTCTTTTCATGTGCTCCTGTATGCCTTTTAAATAGTTTGTAGATGTTTCATATGTGGTGAACACAGTCCTGCACTTACATCTCAGCTTAGCATGACTTGAATTAAATGCCATCTGAGGTAAATGGGTTAAGAACTAGGCATTGCTCTCTTCTGTATTTGTAATCCAGATGCCTAAATCCATAATCCAGATACCTTAACAAATGCCGCTGCTCACTGACCACATCTTTCACAGAGAGCCTAAAAAACTGCTCTCTACATGGACCAGGTGGTGAGCCAGTATTATATGCTTAAAAGGAGACAGAAGCTTCTTCCAGGGAATGCTGACAGTGCTTTCTAGCACATAGTAAAATTTCCATGACGCATCCTTGAACCACAAGGCCTCAAGGACACAAGAAATAATGCAGATTAAAAAGATAGGTATTAAAGCTGCAGGGGATAGTCTAACAGATCTGAAGTACAGTATGTACTTTTCCTAATGGTTTTACACAGGGTTTGAAAGTAAGGGCAGTCAATTCAGCTGGACCATTCTAACAGGAAGAGGCATCAACAGCACTAGAGGGTTCAAACCAAGAGAGGGTGTGTCAGAGCATTTAATCTAGTATGGGGATTTCCCTGCTGCTGGATGTTTTTGGTGGTGAGAGTCTGAACAAACTTAATAGGAAGCCAAGAAAATTCACGGAAAATAAATTTACTGAGTTGCTAAATACACAGATTGTCTGCTTGGTTCCAGGAAACCTCCAAGTTGCAAATTTCCTGGAGACATGATGAGTACTCAGGATTCTCGTAGTCTTCCCTATATGTACACTTAGGCCATTGCCCCACTATTTGCCATCTTTCTACAGAAAGGAGAAGGTCTCCCAGGTTTAGCCACAGGAATATACTTCCATCATCCATGGCGTCAGAGTTACTTAACTCAGCGTGTATTATCTTTGGATATTTTACTTTTACAGTCCCTGCAATACAGAACGATGCTGGGTACTGAAAAACAATCAGTTGAATGTGGGTGTTCTATGAAAACCATCACAACTAAAGGCTTCAGCTCCAAGCTGACTTTTGTGACATTGGTGAGAACACAGAATGGATCCCAGCAGTCAGGGAGACAGCCACATCTTCATCTTCTGATCCAGGTAATCACACAAATTGATTCACACGCACTCAGGTATGAAGGGCATATTCGACAGCCAGGCAGAGCAACCTGGTCCCAGCATTAACCATTGCTGTAAACCTGCTATTCTCAGAGTCATTCTAATATATAACAAATTAAACAGCTCAAATCAATGAAGCACAGGCTTCTCTGATTTTCAGACACTAGATTTTCTGACTTCCAGCTGGTATGGAAAATCTATGGTCAGTGTAGGGGGGAAAAAGGGAGCACAATAAACCCCAAGGTGCCATGACCAATAAAATCTAGAACATAGTATGGATTTGTCGCTATATGCAAGCTGTATGTCTCAGTAATTTTGCTCCTAAAGCCTCAGGAAGAGGCTCAGCAAACATTATTTCAAGCATTTAACAAGCAGTTTTTGCTACAAGCACTTCAAGACTCACTCAGCATATTTGTAGTGCCATTCTCCAGTGACTGAATCCTGATCAAACAGCTTGCATGTCCACTCTTCACCCTTAAGTTTCCTCTCTTTGGCACTCTTTCTTTGAGCTTCTTCCAGAACATATTTCTCCTGAGTAGCTTCTGTTTGGTCTTTATTATTTATTGCTCTTGTCACTTGTTGCCAAAGCCTGACAAATGAACAATATACAAACAGAATCTGGTTGACAAAATAACTGCAAACTATTTCCTCAATTATAGGCTAAGTAAATAGATCATGCTCCAAACAGAACATTAACATTTGTAATGTTTTACAGTGTTTATCTACATTTCTACCATGATTTTCCATGATTGTAAAGTTTGTAAATAATCATCTTATATTTAATAGTGTTATTTTTTTTTGTTTTACAGGCCAATATCATTAAACATGGAAAAGAAATTATAATTTGCTTATAATTTGGAGAAGATGATGAGTTTTGTTTTGTCAAAATAAATACATTGTTCTAAAGTCAACTTACTTCTCTGACTCAAAGTCATCTTGCTCTTCAAATTTCACTGTGTATCTAGGTAATCTGCGCTGCTTGATATCAGATGTTGGGTTCCAGAATGTCTCTGAAACACCTGTCTTCTTGTCAGTAATAGTAACTTCACTGTCCTGTAACAGATATGATTGATACCTTAATTGTAGTAATATCAAAGAGTGCCAAAATAACAAAAAAGGGAGGAATAAACCTTTTTTTTTTTTTTTTGTAATGAGAATTTATTTTCTTTTGAATGTATACAGTTAAGGATATTTAGATATGCTAACTTTCAAATTCTATTTCTGCCTTCTGTACTAGGCTCTACCTTGGAACAGAGACGCAATGGAATCATTACCATGTTCAAAAACCAGCAAGGCCATGTCTGTCATCTTACAAGAACTGGAAAAAGCTTAAATATTTCATGTTGGTGCCATAACAATTCTTCATAGTACTAATGCATATACCAAAACATTTCACAAGCTTAATTGTGAAAAAACATTTCACTTTCTTCATTAACTACTCAAACATGCACAACTTTTCCATTTTCTAACAGCTACAAATAGCACTATGTTGATTCTATACCTTCTTGAATACCTTCTATAAAAGCAGTACTTAGCTCTTTTTTTTCCAAACTTGAGTCTTTTTTGTAACTGCTATTTTCACCTGTCTCAACTGTCAGCCAGAATTTAAAAAAGACCATCACTCATTACTTACCCAGTGACCCTCTAAAAGAGCCAGAACTTCTTTGCCAAGCTTAATTTTCCCTGATATTTGATTAACACTGTCGTTGTTACCCAAAAAAGGCTGCAAAATAAAAATAAATGGTTTCATGTTTATTTTGATAACATATTACTTTTGCTTCTATGTTTAGGGTTAAGGAGAAAAGCGCATTTATGAAATGTGCTGTAAACAGCCCTGATGGCTTTTAGTATTATATCTTCTTCCTATTTAATTCCCAAAAGAAGTCTAAAACCACACTAAGTAGTTTCTTTAGGCTATATTTCAAGAGATTTGATGAGCAAAAGTACTGTCTAAGAAATGTGTAAAGAAAATAGTAAATAACGCAGAAAACAGTGACACAATAATATCCCGAAGGACACAGTCATTTGCTACGGTAATTTCACCAATTTGCCAGGGACCATTTGTTACTAGAGATTAACTCTTGCACAAGCAACAACCGGGGGTTTTCTTTGGCCTTTTGACAGACCGCACATGTATTCTGTGGACTGACAAGGCAAAATTATCAGTTAACACAGCCTCTCACCTTTTATGTTTCCCCCATATACAATTTCCCTCTCCACCTGCACACTGCTTGACAACTATTTGTTCAGTTTTAAATCGGTTTCTGCCTCAAAGATGGCAAATGTATTTTTCAGAAGTGCAAGCCATCTAGAAGTNAAAAAACCAAAACATAAAACCAGCACAGTTTGATAGATTCAGCATATGGAAATGTAGCAGTTAAAACAGAAATTTCTCTATTTTCCAAAATATAATTCCATACTAAATCAGACCATATCTAAGGAGTCACTGAATGATTTTTTTTTTTTAAGTATCATTATGTTCATTCTACTTTTTGTGCCTACTAGCAGCATTTACTAACCTTGAGTTTGAATTCAATTGTTGCACTGTAGCCAGTTTTCTCACAGGTGATGTTGACTGTTCCTCCAAGCTCTAAGGTCATTGTGCCATAGAGAATTCCTGCAAGAGAAAAAAAAGCTAAAATGAATGTTTTTAACTGAACAAAGCAAAAAACATAAGCTACGTGGGTACAATTCCTAGAGTAAACATGCTTGTGCCAGAGGAAAAGTTGTATTTTCAGATGACCTTTCCTAATGATAATCATGATCTTTCTGCCAAATAAGATAACCCAAACAGAAACAAAGAGATCTAAGTGAATTACAGATAAGCAGGAAAAACAGATATGAAGACATATCTTTGGCAGTGTACGTTGCTGGCCCTAGCAATGGTGATGTTTAGTCTTATTGGAAATGACTGGAGAAGGGAAGCTTCTGAAATTAGAGCAAGAAAATAACCTACCAAAACAAACAAACAAACACAACACCAAAAAACACACAAACAAACAAACAAACAAAAAAAACCACAAAGAAAAGCTTCCCCCAAACAGAAGCAGTATGTACAGTCAGACCACAGTTGAAGGCAACCATGGACAACCAATATAACACTGATCACCTCCCTGAAGACTTTTGGAAGTACAAAGTTGACAATGCTGAGTACATTCTCCTTCCCACAATTACTGCCTTTCCCTTGTAATCCAGTGCTTGAAGCACTGAATATATTTTACATACAGTGGATTCATGTGCAACATTTGTTTCACCATGCACCTTCTCCTTCCCTGCATATTCTTCTACCTTTGTCCCTCTCTAGCAGCTTTATTACTCACACTAATCCTCCTTCCTGTTTGAATTGAATGTATGAATATATGTTATCCAGTTTAATTGTTTAGTATTATTTTAGTCATCAAAGCCATAAAAAAATTGAACACAATATTAAAAACATTACAAACAATGGAAAGAGAAAAGGCTACTAAGCTTATGTCAAATTATCTAATTCTGCTAACTGATCTTCATACACCTCAAATGAAGAAAGTATTATATTTGTTGACTTTATAGTTGGCCTTCTGAAAGAGAATTCCAGCTATTCTGAATGAGAATTTTGGAATATATGAGTATACAATCCTGAATAAGCTACAGCTTAAAAATAAGCAATTCTGCAATGTATTTTGCACTACTGCTGACCTTCCAGAAAGCTTTACAAACCACTGATTATTTTCCCATAAAGACAAACGTTCACGATTTACAACTGAACCGCACAGTGCATTGCAGATACTACACTGCCTTTTATGTTTACAAGGGGAAAATATTGGAAAAGCTCAAAATTTTTCTAAAAAAAAGGCATCTCAAACAGTAAATTAGTATTATGTAGTGACAGCTATATATATGTGCTCTTACTATTTCTTACGATTTCTGAAAAAGAAAATCTTTTTCTGTGCCAAAAAATAAAACATGGCTTAAATAACAGATGTATTTTTCCCCTTATAAAATATGCAGAAGCCTAGATCCACCAATGTTGCCAACATTCAGAACACTTTTCTCAGATGACAGGCTTGAATCCAAAACAGTATGTTATTTACAATAATGCACTATTTAGAATAACAAACTTCTGTTCTCATAACTTTGACATCTAGAGAATGAAAAAAAACCCCACTACCTTTACAATGAGCATATGGCATTGTCATTACGTAATCTTCTCCCCTATTTAGAAATGTTAGTCGTCCTTCTCCATCTAGTATGGCAGATAATGAATTCCCTGAAATTCAAAGACAGAATAT